GCGAGTGCACGCGGACCCGCGGCCCAATTGCCCTGGGGCATGTTGAGGCCGAGCATGTAGGTATGTGTCTGGCGGTGCCGTCTGAACCCACCAAGCCGCCCCCCCCCCCCCCCTTCCCCCCCCCCCCCCCCCCATCCCCCCTCGCGCCCCCGACCCTCGCGTCCTGCTCTGGGGTGATTTGAGGTCGGGCTCGGGATCCTAAGGGGCCGTGGCTTTTACTGACGGCTCTTGGCTCGCGTCGAATAACCCTGCCCTCAGAAGGCGCGGGTGGTCGGTCGCGCGGCTGTCGGAGGAAGGGGCCCCTCTCCGCGCAGCCTTTGGAGGCCTGCCTGGGTTCATGCGACAGACGGCTGGGCATGCTGAGCGTTTGGCAGCTTTCAGGGCCAGACAGAGTGTTGCCCCTCCGTTGAGCTTATAGTGCCGGATCTGGCCTCGCTGGTGGCCGAAGGCGCTGACTGGTCACCGTGCCTCGCGCGAGGCGCGGCCAATCATGCGCTCGTCTGGGGCATTTGTTTCGCGTCGGTTTGAGAGACAGCATGCGCCCCCGCCGCCATTTGAGCGGGTGCACTCGCATCTCGAGCTCAAAGATGCGCTCTCCATACTGGTAGCGCCGTTTCTGTGGGCCCTCGGCAATGCGTGGGCAGGTGACTTTGCCAAGGCTGGAGCCGCTGACACTGCCGTCTCAGAGGGTCTTGCGGACGCTCGCAAAGAGAGCGCCGAATGAGGCGAAACCTTTCTTAAAATATGTTTCTTGGGCAGTCGCCCGCAGAGTCGAATTCTCGACGCTTCGCGCGCCCCCGCCAGCCCATCCAGCAACGGTCAGCAGGGGGGTCGGTGAACCAGGGGCGGCAGGGCGCATGCAGCTGCGCGGCAGTCTTCGGAACCAAAAAATAAAGGATCACAAAGCGCTTCCCGCATTGAAATTGAAGATGGGAACCAGTACAAGCTACGATGGTGCTTCGATGAGGGGTGAGGGGTGTTTCGGTGACTCGCAATGGCTGTTGCACTGATTTGTATATTACATTCGCGTGCGTTTCGGGACTTGGAGCTCTCCTGGGGCTCTCCTGGGGCCCTCTTGGGGCCCTCTTGGGGCCCTCCTGGAGCGCTTTCTTGGAGCTCTCTTGGGGTCTTGTCAGGGCCTTCTCGGAGCCTTCTTGGGGCTCTTTTGGGACGTATTGGGGCCCTCCTGGGGTGCCTGAGGGGCCTCGTGGGGCCGTCTGTTTTCTTTTGTAAAAAAATAGCCTGGCGAAGAACCCAACCATATGCAGTTGTGAATACCGCGATTGTGGATCTCATCTTCGCTCGCGCTCCCTATGGGGCCACGAACCGTGTTAGGGGGCGTGCCGAAATGCGTGGCGGGGCCCCCAATGCAGACGATCGCTCTGAGTGCGCGAGACTGAGACCGGGTGAGCCTGAGCGCGAGTAAGTCTGATTGTGAATATGTCTGCGTGCGAATCAGTCTACGTGCATCAATGTCGACGCCCATGCCGGCGCGCCCCTCACGAGGATCGCGCCCGCTTCCTTCCCCTTCTTTTTCTGCTTCTTTGCCCGTGCACGCCGATGTCCATGGCTGCGGGCGCGGCGCCGCACTGAGCCCCCGCGACGCACGCTGGTCGCCCCGAAGGGGCCCCGGCGACGCGCGCGGGTCGTCCGCTGCGCGGAGCAGAGAGAGTGCTAGCTGGCTGGGTGATAGCGGGCAAGACTGTGGCCGCTGGGCAGAGCGACGACGGGGGCGAGCGAGGCTCTGGGCAGAGCGCAGCGCGGAATTCCCGCGACGCGCGCTGGTCGCCCCGAGAGGGTTCCAGCGACGCGCGCGGATCGCCCGCGGCGCGAGGCCAAACAGTCAGACCGTCGAGAGACGGCGAGTCTCGGGCGGGCCGCTCCTCAGGTCAAGCCTCGCGGATAAACTCGGTGAAGCCCATCTCCCTGGCGAGGGCCGTCGCCTCCCTTCTGCGCCGCTTCGTGCGCGCCGCAAGCTGCTCCAGCTGCTTCCGCAACGTGTGCCAACATGGGGCGGCGGCGCCATGCGAGTTCCGCCACTGGGACCTTAGGTGGAGCTCCCTATGGGGCCACAAAACGTGTGAGGGGTGTGCCAACATGGTGCGGCGGCGCCATGCGAGTTCCGCCGCTGGGACCTTAGGTGGAGCTCCCTATGGGGCCACAAAACGTGTGAGGGGTGTGCCAGAATGGGGCGGCGGCGCCATGCGAGTTCCGCCACTGGGGCCTTAGGTGGAGCTCCCTATGGGGCCACAAAACGTGTGAGGGGTGTGCCAAAATGGGGCGGCGGCGCCATGCGAGTTCCGCCGCCGGGACCTGGGGGGGAGCTCCCTATGGGGCCACGAATCGTGTGAGGGGTGTGCCAAAATGGGGCGGCGGCGCCACGCGAGTTCCGCCGCTGGGACCTTAGGTGGAGCTCCCTATGGGGCCACGAAACGTGTGAGGGGTGTGCCAAAATGGAGCGGCGGCGCCATGCGAGTTCCGCCGCTGGGACCTTAGGTGGAGCTCCCGATGGGGCCGCGACGCGTGTGAGGGGTGTGCCAAAATGGCGCGGCGGCGCCATGCGAGTTCCGCCACTGGGACCTTAGGTGGAGCTCCCTATAGGGCCACAAAACGTGTGAGGGGTGTGCCGAAACAGAGACATGCGGAGAGCAAAAGCCAGGATGGGGGAGGAGGGAGGAGGGGGAGGAGGAGGAGAGGAGAGGAGGACGCGGGGCACCGTCTCTTCAAAACGAGGACCCAACACCACAGGATGGTTGGGAAAAAGGGAGGGGGGTGGGATTCCCATCGCCTCCTCGGGGGCTCGACCACGCCGTCTTGGGGCACTCTTGGGCCGCTCTTCAAGCGCTCTTGGGCGCTCTTGGGGCCCTCTTGGGCCCCTCGTGGGATTATGTTGGGCCGTCTTGGGGCCGTCATGAGGCCCCCAAAGCCCGTCGGAGGTGAAAAAGCGAGCAGGGAAACAGTACCGATTTTCCTTAGGCGTTCGATGGATGTTGGCCTCTGGGGGGGGGGGGGTCCCCAGAGGCTTCGGGGGGCGCTTGAAACCGTCTCGGGGCCGTCTTGAGGTATTTTGGATGCGCGCGGGAGGCTAGGTTGAGCCATCTACCGCTATCTTGGGCCATCTTGGAGGGCATCTTGTGCTCTCTTAGGCCCTCTTGGAGCCATCTTGGGCCATCTCTGACGCCGCCGTGGGTCGCACCCCCCCCCCCCCCCCCCGCCCAAACGCATGGACGGGGGGGGGGGGGGGGGGGCGAGCAGCAGGAGCAGGAGAAAAAGGAGTTCCCTGAGACCACCTGCGCCCAGAGGGCTGGTGGGCTTAGCTTCTGTCCAACCTGTCGGCGTCGCTGGCCGCGACCTTTGTTGGGCGCAGTCCAGGGGCGAGGTCCGCCGCAGGTCTTGCAAGACGGTGGCGCGCGCGGAGCGCGCCTATGAGAACATGTTCAGCGCGCGCGCAAAGACGCGCGCGCCGTCGGAGTACCATCGCGCTTCGGCGGACAGTTACTTCAGCCAGCCCAGTGCTGGCGATGCGGTTGCGTGGTGGGCGTCTTTTCTGTCGTCTATTGGCGTGGTCGGGGCGCCGGGCGGCTCCGACGTGGCTTCGGCACCTCTGCCCGCCAGGCCTGTGCCCCCGCGTCTGCCCTGGACATATTCCACGCCATGGGGCGCGACTGTGTTCAGCAAGGGCTGGCCTTTTGTTGCCAGCGCAGCGGTGCATATCAGGCGGGGGCGGGCAACGCCGAGAATTTGCGAGCTGCTTGCAAGGGGGCACAAGTCCAAGAGCTCCCTAGCGGGGGTGGCCATGCGTGTTCGGAGAATTCTGACCGGCCGCCACCCTGTCTCCAATATGGCCCTGTAAGACAGAGGGCATTTGTTTCGTGCTTTTGCCCGTCCTACTTGGGCGTAGTGCGGGAGCGGCTTCGGTTGTCTCCCCCTTTTACAGGCCAGGTTGGAGCTCCCCCGCGGGTGCCACTGATGATGCCGCACACCGCTGACTGGAGTGCGCCCAGTGCACTCTCGTGGTCAGAGTTCGCTCTGAAGAGAGTTTCACCTCGGCGAGCGCTCGTTTGTTTATACTCCGCGGTCGTCTTTCGACCGCGTTCGCAATGGGCACCAAACAAAAACACGCGTGCCGATCGTTTTTACTTGGGACCGCCCTTTGTTGGTAGCGCCAAAGTCTTTCAGCGCAGCACCTGACATTCTAGCACGCCCACATCGTGCAGGCACGGTGGTGGATTAAACATTTATGGTGTGGGGTTTTCGTTTTCATGAGCCCAAAATATGTTCAGGGGTGGGTCCGGTTCATGGATTGTTTTCGTTTTTGCATGCGCCCCCGTGTTTTGGTGTCCTTGTCGTTCCTACGAATGTATGTCGCTGGTCTGTGTGTCTGTCTGTCTGTCTGTTTGTGTGTCTGTCTGTCTGTGTGTCTGTCTGTTTCACTTGCTCTCTCTCCCCCTCTCGCTTTCTCTATCTCTTTCTCTCTCTCTCTCTATTTGTTGTTCTCTCTCTTTCTCTGTTGTTTGTTTGTATGTGTGTATGCTTGTTGTGTTTATGTTGTTTTCTCTCTACCATTATCTCTCCCTCGCCCTCTTCCTCTCTGTCCCCCCCTCCAGTCTCACATGGACTCCGTCAGCAGGCTGCCCCACCTGGTGGGGGCGGGTGCCGAGAGCGTGGACCCCGAGGTCGTTGAAGCTGAAGCGGATCTCCGAGGGACCCAGCTTCTGCGCCGACGACCCCAGGAGCAGGATCCCAGATCCCATGGGGGATCCCTGCCACTGGGCGTTGCTGAAGGGGGACGGTCAGAGGGGAGCGAGGAACGGTGGGCCTTTGGTGCGCCTTCGGAGCTTTTCTCCGGCTCCTCGGGGCCCTTGTGCTGCAGCCTTCGATCCCCCGCCCTGCATCGCCAGCCGAGCACGAGGCCCGATTCCATGAGCCCCCTCTGCAGCGTCGCGTTCAGCGGGAGGGGGGCGTCTGGCCGGAGCGCCGCCCCGGCCCCCCAAGCGAAGGAGGCGGGCCTCTACTTCTGCAGGCGCAAAGACCTTTCCGACAGGACCCTCGCCCTCTTGTCGAGCCCAGAGGGGTCGGAGGAGGAATGGGGGAACAAACAGAGACGGTAAACATGTAATCTCGGAGGACTTCGCGGAAACCTTGGATCGGCGCTGGGGCCCCCCCGCTGGGTCCCCCCTGGCGGCGCCTCCAGCGCCGCCCCTGGCGCGCTGCGCCAGGGACGGGGGCCCAGCACTGATCCCAGGAATCAGCGCGGATCTCAGATTTTTTAGGTTTATGTCATTGCTTGTTACCCTAAGGATTGAGGCAGGCTGGAAGGCGGAGGAAAGAGAGGCGGGGAACCCGGAGATCTGGGCGTTGTGTTTTTTCCACCAGGCGTTTTCTCCCAGTGTGGGGCCCTGGGACCATCACAGATCGATTCGATCCGGTGTGAGAATGTGCGCAGCAGAAAAATTTGGTCTAGAGCTCCAGTTGTAATGTCTCGCGATGTTGAAATGTGTTTGACGCCGTCGGATCTCATGGACTAATGGAGGGCGTGGGGGAGGTGGAGGGAGGATGATGAGCAGGAGGAGGGAGGAGAAGGACGAGGAGGAGGAGGAGGAGGAGGAGGAGAAGGAGGTGAGGTGGAAGAGGAGGTGAGGACGCGGAGGAAGTGAGGGCCTGCGGTTTCTCCTCTCCTCTTTGCTCCTCCGTTTCGTCTTCCCTTCTTTGTTATGTAGGGTCACGATTGAGAAATGCCCAGGGGGGCCCGTCACGCAGCAGCGGGATGTCTGATTCATATGTTGGGTTCGCCATGGGCGTCGTCGTCGTCGTCATTGGGATGCTTGCGGCGTCCTCTCCGCATTTACCCCTGTGACAGACAAGTGTTCCGTGCCGCTGCCCCCATGCCTATTGCTTATTTCGCAATCCTCGTTCCGCACTGCCGCGCGGCAGGATGCCAGAGATGGTCAGGTGGGGCGAGCTCGTCATGGGCGTGGACCAGGCTGCGCGCGCCCTCCGCTACCTCAGCACGAGGTCGAGCGGCAGAGCGAGGAGGCGGATGACGCCGAGGAGAGCAGGTCAGACTCCTCTGGGCACTGTGCCTTGGCCAGAGTGGAGGAATCTGGTTGCGGGCGACGTCTCGACCCCAGTTCCCGAGTTTCCCCCCCAAACTCAGGCCATTAAGAACAGGGGAATCTCGGGGATCCCCCCTGGGTGCTATTCTGACGCACACTCCCACCGAGGGTGGACGCCCCCTCATCGTATTCCTGAGCTTGGCCCCTAAGCTGATTGTCCAGTCGAATGTCCCACGAAGTCGGGGCTCGGGGTTGCCGTGCCCTGGGTTACAGGAAAGACATAATTCTTTCAGCGTGGACCCCAAACAGTGAACTGTTGCACTGCTGATGTGCAAGCTGTGTGGTGTAAGCTACGTGGTGTACGCTATTCGGCGCAAACTCTGTGTTGCAAGCTGGCGCAAGCTCGATGGTGAACGCTATGTGGCTAAATATATACATACATATATATATATATATATATACATGATATGGTGTAAGCTGTCTCGTGTAGGTGTAAGCTGTGCAGCGCCAGCTGTGTGTTGTAAGCTATGCGGTGCAATCTAAGTGGTGTAGGCCACGTGGTGCAAATTGTACGGTGCAAGCTATGCGGTAAATCAATGTGGTTCAAGCTACGCGGCCGCCCAGCGCACGATGCGCCCACGAGACCCCCACGGGCGGGCACCCGACGAAATCTCGGCTGACCCCCACAGCGCACGAGGCGGCCACGAGGCGCTCACGGGCAGGCACCAAGCGAAACCTCGGCGGACCCATCCAATGCCTCAGGAAAGAATGGCAAGAACCCCGAATTGCAGCACTGTTAGGGGCAGGAAGAAGGTAGGGGCTTCTTTCACCAGTCTTCCATGACTGCCCTCCTCTTGTCCACAGATTCTGATGCGGCACTGGTGAAGGATATAGTAGGTAGGTATTTTATGCGACAGGAGGGAGGGGGTGTAGGATGAGAAAGGGACGAGGGTGTAGGATGGGCAGGAGAGCGCCAAGGCAGTGTGGCGGAGATTGCGGTCCTGGTGGCAGTAGTGAGGGGGTAGCGGATGAGAAATAGCGGAGGGTGTAGGATGGGCAGGGATCATGGTGAGAGGTGCGAGGTGAATATTTCGAGAGAGTTGTCTCCGAATTCTTGCATGAAGAACCAAACGAATTCTAGGCAAATTCCGAGTCGGGACTGTAATTGCTTTGTGTGTAATATATATATATACATATATAGAAACATATATATATATATATAGGATGGAGGACGTGGCACCACGGAGGGCATAGGATGCGGCGCCCGTGTAGGATAGCGGGTAGGGTGGTCTCTGTGACCATAGGGAGCGTAGGATGGCGGAACGCAGGGTGTACGATAGGGATGAGGATGAACGGAGGGTGTACGATGGCCGAGAGGGCGCCGGTCTAGGATGGCGGATCTTGTTTTCTCGGTGAGTAGGACGGGGGAGACCAGAGAATGTAGGATGGGCGAGGCTCTTGGTCAGAGGTTCCAGGTGGTTGTTTCCAAACATGTTTCTCCATGTTCTCGTTTGAGGCAGGATACGGGCGAAGTCTGAGCGAAGTTTGGGAAGCCGAAGGCGTGATTGTACTGGCTAGGCCAACGGGATGGATGTAGGACGCGGCGCTGATCGAGCAGGTATTCTGGCTGAGATATCAATCGAGGGGTGGGCGACGAACCTTCCGACGGAGCTTGCCCATCCTCCCCTCCTCCTCCTCCTTTTCCTCCTCCTCCTCCAACCTCCCCATCCACCCGTTCCGACAGCACATGCCCAACCCCCCAAGCGGATCCGAGGGGGGGCGCTTAATTCCCAATCCAGAGTAGGTGGTCTCTGCGAGAGAGGGGGTGTAGGATGGGAAGGATCGCAGGACGATGGCTGGCACGGCTCCTTTGTGGGATGGCGTGCGGGGAGTGTGGTCTCGGTGACATTAGGGAGCGGGTGGAAGATGAGAAAGAGCGGAGGGTGTAGGATGGGCGGGGTCGTAGTGAGAGGTGCTGGATGGCTGTTTGAGAAAGTTTGTGCTTGTTTCTTTCATCTTGTATCTTGAAGAAACAACCGCGCGAATTACACTCACATTCCGGGGGGCCAGAGGCGGAATTGTATTGGTTAGTTCCGTAGGAGTGAGGGCGTGTCACCCGGGGGTGTGTAGGATGCGGCGCCGGTGTATGATAGCGGGAAGGGTGGTCGCCGTGACAGAGGGAGAGGGCTCTCGATAAGGAACGGCGGAGGGTGTAGGATGGGCGGGAGGGCGCTGGTGTAGGATGGCGGGTAGTGGTCTCGGTGACGAGAGAGGGGGGGGTGATGAGGAAAAGCGGAGAGTGTAGGATGGGCGGGGCTCGTGGTCAGAGGTGTCAGGTGCATGGTTCGAAAGAGGTTGTTTGTGAGTCTCATTTGTTGAAACAACCGCGCGGAGTCCAGACAAAATCTGCGGGGGTGAAGGCGGGATTGTTCTGGTTTGCATTGTGGCGTGGAGGACGCGCCACCGGGTGGGTGTAGGTTGCGGCGCTGGTGTAGGATAGTTGGTAGAGGGTCTTTGTGACAAGAGGGAGGTTGTGTAGGATGGGAAAAGAGTGGAGGGTGTAGGATGGGCGGGAGGGTGTTGATGAAGGATGGTGCTCTTCGCACTTGTGCTCCTCCTGTGGTTTCTCGCCGTGGTTTCCCTCCTTTTCCCTCTCTTTCGCCTCTTCCTCCCCCTGTTTCCTCCTCCTCCAGTTTGCTTTATCCTCCTCATCTTCCCTGCTTTACCCTCTGGTTGGATTAGTACCTTTAACTTGTATTCTGAGTCAGGCCTTCTCGCAGAGCAAGAGCAACCAGAAGCAGGGAATTAAAGGACAGTGAATTCTACACTGCTTCGGTGCGTTTGGGATGTCCTTTTTCGGATACCTTCAGAGAATTTCCAGGGGGTCGACCCCACCAGACTTTGCACACGGAGGGCTTAGAGGACGAAGGAGGGAGGGATGCAGACTTAGCCTAGCAGCAGCAAGCTGGAGATGCAGAACAGCAACGATACGCCATACGCTTAGCAACTACGACGGCACGAACGCGTTGGCATGTACTACCCGCAGCAGCCTTACACATTTGCATAGCAGAACTTGCCCATCTGAAAACGTTCAGCTCGCAGACCAAGCAGTATTGCGAGCAACTTTCCATGTAGAAGCGATAGATGGCGCAGCATACTTTCCATTCGCATAGTGGCATGGCCATGGGCCATTCGTTAGCCGCAGGAGACTTGTTGGACATTTACTCGCCCGCGTTGCAGCGCTGGAACGCCAGCCTGGCAGAGGGCGACGCCAGCTATGTTGTGGCTAGAGGGAAGTGCCCAGTGACCAACGAAGACGTAGACGTCGGCCTATGATTATTTGTAGATGACGCATCCAGGCTACACATACATGCATATGCGCCAAAAGCACGATACATCACGCAGCTGCTCAACCACGCCACGCACAGGCTCCAGGATTACATTCAGAAGAACGGGCACTTCCTGGATGCAGACAAGACAAACTATCTCATCAGTTTTTACGGCCAGGTCTCCTTCGAAGCAGCTCGAGAATTTGCCAGACAACATCGAATCCAGGGAGAATCCGTAGCCATTTTGGCTCAAGAGACGTGCTCCGCCCGATGGTCGCGGTTCCCGTCCATGGCGGGCGAGTTCCTGGGCGCGTTGCCGTTGGGCCTGAAGACCAGGAACACCTTCCTGGACTGTGAGTCGCCGTGGATCGATCACGTCACCGTGCAGCGGGACACCAAGTCGGACCCCACCTCCGACCGCCGCTCCTCGAGGTCGGACCTGACCAGCGGCAGCAACCGAGGGCACGACGCGGAGGTGCGGCTCGAGTCGGGAGAGCCAACCCCCGCCAGCGTGGATGCCGCCCATGAGGAGGGGGCGCCGCCCATTTCAATGACAGGCATTGCAAGTCTGGAGGAGTGGGCGGATGACACCCGCCGCGAAATGACCAAGACGCAGCGGCGCCACAAGCAGCGGAAGTTCGCGAAGGCCAGGGAGAGAGACGAGTTCCGCGACGCAGCGTCGTTGGACAGCTCGACCGACTTCAACGACGTGCAAGTCGCCTCCACCAAGATCTCTCTGTAGACTCCAGTAGACTGCGGTGACTTCGCGCAGCGTGTGGTCGTTTTTTCGTTCGTTGTTTTGCCGATGGGCGCGGGCCCTCGCCCACCCCCCCCCCCTGGAGTAGATATTGGCTGTTTTTTTGGCGCCTGTTTCGAGTAGGTGGAACCCCTGAAGAGTTGCAGGAGAAGCCGGAGGAGGAGGAGGAGCGGGCCCCAGAGCTTTATCAGTAGGTCGACCCTGCGCAATCAAGGGTGCGTACCCTTGTGCTCTGTGGTTCGCGAGCCGTGCCTTTCTGCACTCCCGTGGCAGTGTGGCCCTCGGAAGGGTCTCGTGTGCTCTCGCGTGACCTCTCCAGTGGAACTCGACTGTAAGCCCCGGGGGCTCACTTCGGTACGAAGACCGGCGGCATGTTTTTCTCCCTCGGACGGGTTTGCTGCCTGCATGCCCGCGGACGTGGTCCACGATGCAAGCGGCAGCGTGCTTCCGACGCTCTGCCGGCGTGCGGTGAGCTTGGCCATTGCAGATGGCGCGCAAGAGTCGACGTGTGTTGCAGGGATGCACGATCCGAAGTTACTAGGCGAGGCTGGCTGCCATACTGAAGCAGATCAGCTCCGATTCCTTGCCATGTTGACATGTTGACCCGGCGTGTGCCACGACAGATGGCCCAATAGGATTGTTAGGGTGTCCATTGTCCTGTCCGTGACCCGGGTTCGCCAATTCAAAAAAACGGTCTCATACTGTTTTCACGGTTGCCTTTACTAGGCAGTGGTGCAGTTTCGGAGATGGCTCCGAGCAGCCAATCTCCAAGCAGCAGCGGAATATTCTAATTCTTGCATGGCCCGGTTGGCGTCTCGCGTTTCTTTTGCGCTCGTTTCCTCTACCTCCTCCCATCGCAGGGCCACCGTGGCGTCAGAGCAGATATTCTGTGCGAATCGTTCTGCATTTTTTCTCCCCCGCTGCGCGGGGTCCGATCCGCGCGATGGTTTTAGCTCATAGCGGGCAGGCAGCCTCAAAAGTATATGGCCAGTGGCAATTTTCATTATTACTATTTTTTTGTCTTATACGTTGTGTGGCACTTGCGCCATCAGCCAGAGTGTAGCTGCTGCACCCCGCCTTGCCTTTGCGGAAAAAAAAACAACGAATCCAGGGAGAAGTACGTCAGGAAGTGAGAGTCCTGTGGCCCATCATGAGTTTCGACAGAGCGCTGAGAACGGAACTGACCGAGTGCATCAGAGGGGCCCGAGCCGCATGGAGATCGTTAGGCGAAGTCTGGCACCGACCTCTTCATCACCGCCTGCTTCGTACCCTTTTCGTGCGCTTCGTCTATAGCGCGACTATCACAGGTCTCGCCGCATTCTTGCTGCCAAAGGAGTTCACTTATAAGTTGGACTCAGCCCTTGTTCGCATGCTCCGCTGTTTGTTGCAGGGCAAAGCAAAGCGTGAGTTTGACGGCAGAGTGGGGACATTGAGCAACAGCGAAGTTTTCGAGCATTGGAATATTAGCCGAACAGCAACCTAACTACGAATCCACCGGATCCGACGGCGGCAGCAGATAGCAAACGAACCAGGCAACAATCGGCAAGTACTCTCCAGACTCAGCCCGGCAGGCAGAATTACAAAACATTCGACGCCGTGGGCGACGCAGTGCAGGGACGACCTGCAGGCGTTCGCCAACGTCGATGGTCGCTTCGACTAGATCTGGGGTGACAGACAAACCATATTTCAGGTATTCAAGGACCCCGAGGTTTCTAGAGGCTCGCCAAGATCCCCGCGGGCAGGCACAGGAACATGCATAGCGAGGAGGGGTCAAAGAGGCTAGCCCACCTACTGTCTAGATTGGGCATCGCGTCGATCGAGGCAGCGCGCACTGACATCACAGAGCACCAGAACCACGACACGGACAACAGCAACAGCAACACCATCGAAGAGCACGCGTGCACGCACGAGCTAAGGCGGGGGGGGGCTAATGACCAGGGCGCGGCATGTCATTCGCCATTGTAAAAGCATTGACGGCGCACATCACGCGCGCAACACGAGGAACCTGCATCCCATGATCGTTCGCGCGAACGTGTGTCCATGGTGCCGCACATGTTTCTCGAGTCGAGCCTCCTGTTTGCGACGCGTCCTCACCGTGTCCCGCGCGACCCCGCTGCGCTGCTGGGCCAGTGCCACTTCTTCTGGCTTCAAGCCTGAAGAGCAGAGCTTATACGTTTGCGGAGTGTGCGGCCGCGGAGATGATGATTTGAACGAGCATCTCCTCCACGCAGCCACCCGCGCCTCTGGACAGAGCGATGGCTTGGAGGGCAGGCGCCGCCAAAGGAGGGATACCAAGGAGCCAGACGATGGACGTGGCATCATCAGCGGCGCAAATTCCAGCAAAGCAACCGCGTGGAGGCCAGAGGAAAGTCTCTGGTAACTCGCGTGGCTCCGACGACAATGCGCCAGGAGCAGGCCACGGCGAGACCGTCCTCATGCAGAAGTTGTCCCTGAGCGCAGCGCAGATGGTCCGGATGATGCCAGGCAGCATGTGGGATTTCTTCCTAACCGAGGGCGGGCTAGAGCCAATCGAGGCCGCAGCGGCAGGTGGAGCCAACTACGCCGAGGAGGTCAAGACCGAGGGCAGCAAAGTGGTGGGACCGCCCCACCTGCACATAGGAGTGGAGTTCTTCCCGGGGATGGCGAAGGCGCAGACGCTCGAGGGTGAAGCGACAAGGATCATACAAGAACTCGGGCAGCTGATCGTGATGGTGCCGATGGAAGTTCGCGGACATCCAAGCCTATTTCAAGGTGGAGAAAGCCTACCGCGAGCCAGACCAACCCAACCGACGAGGTGGAATATCCACATCGTGTTCAACCCGCTGAACTCGACGCCGTGGACCAAGAATTGGGAGGGCGATAGCAACCACATCAGGCAGGGCAACACAGAGGAACTGGTTACGCTCGGGCAGCTCAGCGTTCAAGACCTCCGGGTAGCGACGCGCAGGGTATCCAAGCTCATGAAAGCGGAGCAGATGCATGGCGCATTTCCCCCGACGGCGCTCGAGAGGTAGCTGCAGAAAGCATTCCAAGCGCGGCAAGCATTGGGGCAGTAAACGTGGCAGGGCCGAGAGCAATGGCGCAAGGTGGCAGCGAGAGAGCCAGAGAGCTACTAGCGCGGCTGAGACCGCGGGAGTGAATGAGCAGCAACTAAGCAAATTCGTTTTTCACAATTTCTATACAGATCGGCCTCACGGCCAGCGGACAACCCACGCGCGCTACTATGAGGCGGGCTTCGCGAGCGACCCTCAACATAGACTGAGGCTCACCGCCTTTGAACTGCTTCCCACCGCCTCCCCCTCCCTGCTTGCGTTCCTGAGGGGCCGATGCTTCGGCTCGCCTTGGTCTTGGGAGCGTCGGCTTCTCTCTCTCTCTCTCTCCCCTCTTTCTATCTATACATGTATATTGTATCGTTTTTGCTTGTTTGTGTTTTTCTCTTTCTTGCGGGCCCCCCTCGTCCGAACCATGGTGCGCTCGTAGCTTGAAGTGTTGGAGACCAAAAAGCAGCCCGAGGAGGCGAGTTATATTGGCCAGTTAACCCGAGCGAGGAAATCCTTGTTCGAAACAAGGAACTACATATCATGCGGAGGGTTGTGGAAGGATCGGGGGGGGAGAGAATTTCCACAGCGAGCGAGCGTTCTCGAAGAAGATCACGCCTTAAGCAAGTACACGCACCGCTTCCCGAAACGGGGGGAATGGGCCACAGTGCCATAACCCACCCGACCGTCCCAGAACATGATCGTGTTGATTCGTTATGGATAGGTGTGTGCATATATACACGGGGCTTGGCACCGAGCTGGGACGGGCCCATAAGGTTTAACAAAACCAGGGGACCCGTAGGCTGACCCCACTGCTATGCCGTTTATGCCGCCAGCAGCATCCGAACTCGTAAGTCATACGAGACGAGCCCCAGCCTCTCGAGACCAGGGATCATCAGTTGCCAAGGCTTCCGGCTCCGATTCCTGCTTCATCCTCGCTCCTCCTCTCCCTCTTCTTCCGTTTGCCCCTTCCTCCTCGTCCCCCTCATCGCTCTTCTTCTCTGTCCCATCCTCGCTCCCTTTCCTCTTCCCTTCAGGGAGGAACGTTTTGCTAGTATGCGTGTGCATGCCCGTTGTTGTCACGCCTGTTATTTTCATTCCTCGTTCCAGCACGTGTGAGCCTAGGCTGCCCTTTCTAGCCACCGCACGCGTTGTAAACATGTTTTCGCCATGGTTGTCGGCAACTTCGCCCTAGCCATTTATTACCTCATCTTCGCTGTCTGTCTGTCTGACCCTCGGGTTGTGTGCCTGCCCTTGCCTTCGCTGCCCGTTTCGCTCGCTGGTTCCCTACAGCGTTGCGTGTTGCCGACCCCCTTTTACATGCCTCCTTCGCCGATCCACAGGGTGGCTCGCGGGTCCCGCTTGCACGCGCTGCGCTCGTCGTGCTGGCTTCTAACGCCGGTGCCGCCTTCCCTCTGGGCGCGACCGCCCGCCCAACGCTGGCGTGCTCCTTGCGCGCTGCCGCTCCGCACCTACCCGCCGCAGCTCGCTGCCCGCCCTGCAGCCCCTGCCGCGGTGCCGCTCGCCCTGCCTCTGCCCAGCCCCCAGCCAGCCCGGGCTGCCGCTGCTGCCGCCACCCCGCCCCGTGAGGGGCCGGCCATCTGTGTTTCTCTTCCTGCCCGCGCGCGCCGGCGGCAGCTCTGGCCGCCCTGTGGAGCTGCTCCTAGCCGCCGACGCCCCAAAGGTGTGCCTGTAGGTCTGCGCGACCGCGCTGGTGAGCGTCTGCGGCCGGCGGCCTGGCCGCCAGTCGGACGAGGTCTGATGATGCCGACGGAGGTGCGCGACGACGATTCGGCGAGCGCTCCGAGCACAGCCACGGGCTGCTTGTTGCGTGCGTGCGCCCTCGCTGGTGCCGCGTGGGGCCCCCAGCTGGGGGCAAAAAGTGCGAAACGAGTGAGGGGTGCCCGACTGGGCGGGGTGCGGCATCCGGGCGGCCTCAACTACATTGGAGACCCATACCAAGAAACACCTGCTTGCCTCCAGGGGGTGTCCTAAGTTTCTTGGGTTTCGATGGTTTTGCGATGGAAAGCGTGACGTTCCCACACCAAAAATAAATGAACGTCCTGGGGTCTCAAGGTTGTTTCCTTGTGGAAGGCTTCTCGTGAACTGGCCTCTACTGTGCAGTGCTGTGGGCGCAGCTCCCTGGGGGGGGGCCCACGTGCCGTGCGAGGGTGCGCCGAGAGCTGTGGTGGGGGGGGGGAAGGGGGGGGGGCGGCGGCACGCCGTCGGTGGGCATGCCCATCGGGGGCGCGGTCCGAGTGAGGGCTGGCCGTTGCTTGAAGTCGGGCATGCCCCTCTACAGGAGGAATATCCAAACTAGTACGGAAATACTGAGGGAACGATGTTTTGACTATGGTTGATCGTTCTTGAGTAAATTGGTTGTTCGTCATCCGAAATCCGCCTGTAGGAGGACATGCCCGACCCAACCCGTCCCCTCAGGCCACACCCCGCCTCCCGAGCGCAGGAAGGTCTCGCTTTGCAAACTGCCAGGTCGGTTCGAGAGGGGAGGGGAGGGGGGGGGCGGGGGAGGGGCCAGGAGAGGCAGCGGTGCAAACTCCTTTTTTTGTTCGGCACGAGCAGGATGCAGCCATGAGGGAGGAGGCAGGTACGACGGGTGGAGGGAGAGGGAGGAGGAGGAGGAAGCGGGACAGGAAGTGGCTGAAGAGAAATACCAAGAGGACGGAGAGGTGATGAGGAGGAGCAGGAGAAGGGAGATGAGGACAACTAAGAATAAGGAGAGAAGGAGGAGGAGGAGGAGGAACGTGATAGGAGGGGTTGATCAACAAACGACGACGGTGACGACGACTGGAGTCAACCATCGAGTCCTTCGCAGATCGCTCCTCGTGCCTATTGGAAGCATCTTGGTATCATCATGGAGCCCTCTTGGAAGTTTCTCGGGGCCCTCTTAGAGGTCTCTTGGAGCGCTCGCGGGGATCTGGGGCCCTGTTCGGAGTCTCTTGGGGCTCTCTAGGAAGCCACGGGAACGCTCCTTTGACTGGACGCCATGAATGAAAAAATGATAATTCGCATGTGCGTGCCCCCCTGTTTGAAACCGATGGTTTGGCCATTTGGGCCCTGTTGGGCCGCTCTTGGGGCGCTCTTGGACGCTCTTGGGGCCGTACAGGGCCCCTCCTGGGACCGACTTGGGCCATCTTGGAGCACCTCCTCCGCCATCATCATCACCACTGTCACCATCAACGCCACGGCCACCGTCATCAGCATCGCTCACCATCGCCATCACCCACCACTCAGACCCGGTTCCTCGCTCACCATCGCCATCGGATATCTTCGCCGCGCGTGACTCGAGAGTGCCAGGCAGAAGGGTCCGGCGGGAGCCAGCGGAGAGAGATCCCGGACGCGGCCCCTCCGGGCGGAAACGGGGCCTAAGCAGAGGACCGCTCTCAGGCCATCGCCGGTGCCCTCGGGATATCTTGCCGTGGGCCCCACGTTTCGCTGAGCCACCGCCTGAAGGGCCAGGGGCCTCATTGGTGCTCTGCATATACCACATACATATCATCTCTACTATCGGTCTCAGCCCTGCCGCTTCCCTCCCATTCCCGGACAAGAAACAGCATCGCATCGAGGATACTAAGGAACATAGCATTGGGAATGCGAGTCACAATTGGACATTTCGAAAACGGCTAAGCTCGAAGCATATAGAGCATCATCTCTGGATGTGGAGGCAACGCTTGGCATCCGAATCCACCCTCACATTTCCATGTTCCACATGCGGGGGGGTGCCCGCTGCGTACGGGGGGAACAGCTAGCCATAGCTTGTTTGAGTCAAGAGGGAGAGGTATTACAGGCTTGCCCTCCGACCGCACTCGATCAAGTCAGACGAATGCTGTTTTCTAATTCACAAATGGTGGTGATGGTGCTGGCTCTGAGTATGACCTCTGCTGCTTTGGCGGCGGATGTTGTCATTGCCATGATGCCGATGAATCTCTCTGACGTGGAGGTGGAGGAGTTTGCTGGATTCTATTTTGAGCCCTATAGCCCTACGCCCGCAGTTGCGAGGTCCCATGGGTTGGGACAGCCATTTGTTTCAAGTTGCGCTTTTGTGTCTCAAACGGCTGGTGACAAGGACGAAGCAAGAAGGCAAACGACCAGCGTCTGTCTTTAAGTCATGTTTGACGTTTGCTCTGGTGGGACGGGATCAAACAATATTAGGGACAAGTCTGGACCCTGGCCTTTTTGCTCTAGCCTGTGCTCGACCGTTGGAGACACACACTTTCATAAATGGTGTCCCAATCTATGAAGGTCGTGTTACGACTACTGTCCGTGCAGTGGCACTCCGCGTGAGAACATTTCTTCCTGCGAATGCGATGTCGCAAAAGTGTGCGGCGGTGATATTGCAGTTGACCTCTCCGCTGGCACTACGATCGAGTTTGATTGGGTTGCTTCTTCCGACGAGTCGAAGTACATTACAATCGATGGCACAGGCAGGACCAGAATCGAATTTCAAGCGACCTTCGACTGTGGATCTGATGCCAGCCCTCCTTTCCAGGAGATTCTTGGAGCAGATATCACGTATGAAGTCGACGCATTCGATCGTGACGGTAGTTCGCAGTCGTACATTTACAACCCTTCCGCCTCTTTTGTCACCCTTGGCAAGTGTGACGGATGTGGCTCTTGTGAGATCTATACCAGGTTGCAGTTCGATCCCGAAGCCGGTGGATTGAAGATGAGTTTCAAGGGCATCAAGTTTTCTGTCACCTACGATGCATCAAATGTGGTTGCCGATGAGCAGGTGTATCAGTGGTCTACGAGTGGCTATTGTTGGATGAGGGACTCGCAGGAACGGCGCCAGCTCGGTGGTCGGCTCCTCGCAGAGGACAACGTGTACGCTATCCAGCTGCCTGCGACTAGTCGCGCCATCGTGCCAGCCTAGCTCTCTGGGTGGCGACTGTTCGCGGGGGCACGGGAAGCCCTCACGTGTAACAGTTCGTGTGTGATGACCAGGGTGGTCTATGATGATGAGGAGGGGGATGAGGATGATGAGGATGACGATGACGGTTATGATGATGAGGAGGATGAGGATGACGATGATGGTGGTGATGACGATGATGATTTTGATGACAATGAGGAGACGGAGGAGGAGGAGGCCGGTGTTGGTTATCATAATGTTGATGTCGATGTTGAGATAGATTTATGATCAGGGAGGCGACTCAGGCTTTCAGGTGCAAGGGACTGGCCCTGCGTCTGCTTGCTTGCTGCTTTTTTCTGGAAGGGGGTAAGGGTGTCGGGGCTCTTTGCTTGCTTGCTGTTTTGGCGGCCTTGGCCTTGCTGCATCTGCGGGTCTTCTGGGGTCACCGTGAGGGGCGCCCTGGGGCTCCCCCGAGGCTCCAAAGGGGCTTCTGGCGGCTGCGGGGAGCAGTGATGAGCAGTTCCTGAAGAAGCTATTTGCCGCCGACCCCCGGGCCCCAGGCATCGAGAAACCCTAAGAGGCATTGCGGAGTCTGGGCAGGCCTCGGCGAGTTGTGCATAGCTTCCGGAGGCACTGCATTGTGCAAGATGCAAAGTGAATGCGTAATTTCCGAAGCGGGTATCCGAAAAAGATTTCAGAATGAAGTCAGTTCGATGCTTGCATGCGTGTTTCAGAAAGTTGTTGGGTTCATCTGCTGTTGCTTGTTTTTGTTTCCGTGCCCGATGCTGATGTTGATTATGACGGTGATGCTGATGACGACGACGAGGATGAGGAGGATAATGATAGTGATGATGATGATGATGCTGATGATGATTCTGATATTTCCCAGGGGAAACATGCGTGAGGCCTCAGGGGCCCAGTGAGTGAGACCTAGCGGCCTTAGGAACCCCTTTGGAGGCCCGCCATCACCTTTCTCTATGTTCCCTTTTCCTTGCCCGTCTCCGTGCCCCGTGCCCTGTGCCCGTCGCCGCTTTTGGCTCGCAGGCCGGCCGTTTCTAGCTTTAGCTATCGTGCGCGGTTCCAGCGGAGCCGCCGCGCACAGCAGAGCTGGTAACGGCCCGCGATCCACGCGGGGAGATCAACACTTATCAGATCTGCAATCAGACTGGTATATCGGAGCTTGTGGTTTCGATTGTGGACGCGGCCGAGTGTTCACCGACGGTTTCAATTTGAGCCCGAACGCTACCAACGAGATTCACGATGAACGATCAGGGCCAAGGCCGATACAAGGGGCACGCGTGCCAAGGATCATACAATGACGATGTGGGTCCATGGGAGATGGAGAAAACCAGGGATCGGGATGGAGGGGGCGCAGGGAGGGAGCGGGGGGGGTGGCCCACGGTCGGTCGGAATAATGGGAAGGGGGCGCAGGGGAGAAGCGGGGGGGGTGGCCCACGGTCGGTCGGAATAAGGGGAGGGGGGCGCAGGGGGGGAGGGGGGGAGGGGGGCGCCGGGGGGGGTGGCCCACGGTCGGTCGGAAATGGCCCACGGTCGGTCGGAATAATGGGAAGGGGGCGCAGGGGAGAAGCGGGGGGGGTGGCCCACGGTCGGTCGGAATAAGGGGAGGGGGGCGCAGGGGGGGAGGGGGAGGGGTGGCCCACGGACGCACGGTCCCACGGGCGGTCAGCACGCACCACCAGCACGACCACCAGCACGATCACCAGCACCTCCACCAGAACGGCCACCAACACGACCGCCAGCACGATCACCAGCACAACCACCAACGCGACCAGCCACCAGCACGACCACCAGCACAACCGCCAGCACGACCACCAGCACGACCACCAGCCCAGCACGACCACCAGCACGACCACCAGCACGACCACCAGCACGACCAGCCAGCAGCACGACCACCAGCTCGACCACCAGCACCTCCCAGCACGACCACCAGCACAAGTACCAGCACGACCACCAGCACGACTGCGAGCACCTCCACCAGAACGGCCAGCAACACGACCACCAGCACGACCACCAGCACGTCACCAGCACGACCACCAGCAGAACCACCAGCACGACCACCAGCACGACCACCAGCACCTCCACCAGAACGGCCACCAACACGACCGCCAGCACGACCACCAGCACAAGCACCGGCACGCCCAGCCACCAGCACGACCACCAGCACAACCACCAGCACGACCACCAGCACGATCACCAGCACGACCACCAGCACCTCCACCAGAACGGCCACCAACACGACCGCCAGCACGACCACCAGCACAAGCACCAGCACGACCACCAGCACGACCACCAGCACGACCACCAGCACGACCAGCCACCAGCACCTCCAGCACGGCCAGCCACCAGCACGACCAAGCACGACCACCAACACGACCACCAGCACCTCCAGCACGGCCAGCCACCAGCACGACCACCAGCACAACCACCAGCACGACCACCAGCACGACCACCAGCACGATCACCAGCACCTCCACCAGAACGGCCACCAACACGACCGCCAGCACGATCACCAGCACAACCACCAACGCGACCAGCCACCAGCACGACCACCAGCACAACCGCCAGCACGACCACCAGCACGACCACCAGCCCAGCACGACCACCAGCACGACCACCAGCACGACCACCAGCACGACCAGCCAGCAGCACGACCACCAGCTCGACCACCAGCACCTCCCAGCACGACCACCAGCACAAGTACCAGCACGACCACCAGCACGACTGCCAGCACCTCCACCAGAACGGCCAGCAGCACGACCACCAGCACGACCACCAGCACGTCCACCAACCACGACCACCAGCACGGCCGCCAGCACAACCACCAGCACGACCGCATTATGGGCACACGGTCGGTCGAAATAAAGCAGTGCGAGATCACACCGGTAGGTATGATGATAATTACCGTGATGATGAGATTGTTGTGGACCGGGACGGTTTGCCACAGTATACGGGGGCGAATCCAGAGTTGTTTACAGAGTACAAGTAGCGGGTCCATCTGGCGCTGGTTAGGCTCAAAGTCGAGAGGAAGCTGGAAAAGAAGAAGCGTCGGTTCAGGATGAAGCTACTGGACAAATCGCACGGACGAGCGTGGAAGAGATCGGAGCATGTGGCGCTGAACCCGACGGACCTGAGAATGGACAGGGGAAAAAGCTCATCTTCGCCGCGCTCGCCACACTGGACAAAGAGACGATCGTGAAAAAGGGCATGGCGTTTGACAGTTTTCTCCTGAAGAACTACATGAAGCGCGGGATGGACATGGGAGAGTACCTTGCGAGCAAGGAGAAGCTCTGGGAGGACCTCCAGGAAAAAGGACAACACGACGTTGTCGGACGACCTGATGGCCCATTTCCTTTTGGACGGAGCTCGACTGACCGAGGACCCGCAGCGCAGCATCGTGATGACTTGCGGATCGGGGTACAGGTTCGACTCGTTCCAGCACGCGGTCCGGGTCAATTTTCACGACACCTTCGAGAAGGAGAAGAGGTCAGCACCCCATCAGCAGCCACATTAGCACAGACATGGCAACAGCAACTGGAGCAGGAGCCACGGGCACGGCGAACCAGGTCGAGGACCATGGGGGCGACAGTGACATCTCCGACGAGGATTTCGAGGATGGTGAGTAGCAGGCCGCCGCGGCGGATGAGCATCCATACGATCACCACAGCGACGCAGGAGCATGAAATAACGACGAGGTCCACGAGGCGCTTTCAGCGCACGAGGCAACCAGGGAGAAGTTGAAAGACAAACAGAAGCAGGGTGTCCTTTTCAAGGGTGAGGTGACCTTCGAGAAGCGTCAGAAGGCGATCAAGGAGGAGAAGAAGCGCACTCGCCGCGGCGCGTGCGGCCGCATTGGCCATTGGGCAGGCGACAAGCATTGCCCAAAAAGCGGACAGCAAGGAGCGAATAAGTTCGGGGGAAATGGTGGGAAGCCAAAAATGGAAAGCGAAGCCCCGGACGCCGAAGCAGGCGTACTTCGCGTTGGGCGGGAACGACTTTGTCAAAGATATGGCAGATGCCAACGCTGGCGCCTTCGCGGTGCACGGCGGGGCCGTGCAGGGCGGCGACCGCGAGGAGGCCGGCGACGATTCGTTCCAAGAGGGCTCCAGCGAGTCAGAGGACAAGGTCGACGATGAGCGCGAGGACGACGGCTACCACGACAAGGGCTACGGCGACGACCAGGAGAAATCTCGAGGAGCAGCCGCTGCAGCAGCGCAGCGCAAGGCGAAGCCGAATATCGAGCCGACCAAGGCACCTGGCGAGAAGGAGACCGCGAGCGCAGATCACTTCACCGAGTGGAAGAGGTCTACGAGCTGAAGAAGCGACTGAGCGACCTCGACCTGCAGGTGAGCAGCAAGCGCGCACTTCCAAGCGAGCGCCTCATGGGCCACGACGCGGGGGTCGCAGGTCAGGAAGGGGCGCAGCGCGGCGAGGGCGGCAGGAGCAACGTGCTCCAGGACTTCGTCGGGCACGATTGGTGAGAACATCAAGTGCGGCGACTGCGGAAAGTGCGGACATCGCGGACGAGACGTGCGCTGCCCACTCCCTATGCGAGAATCAAGGTTCTCAGGCCGGCGCAGGATTGCCGTGGATAGATCAACGCAGAGTTGGACCGCGACGACAGCAAGCCCAGCCGGAAGAGCACGAAAGTTCGGCATCGGCATCGTCAGCATCGGCGACAAGAGCTCATCAGTGACGACTTCATCCAGGAGCTCACCTGCTCCGTTTGCGACCGCATCGGCATGGCGCTGAAGGTCAACGAGATGAGCGGGGGGAAATTCTACGGGCGCCCGAATTATTTCGCCAGCGCGCTGCGCGGGGGAACGCGCGACGACGAGGTGGGCCAGGAGGAGTTGCGCATGGGCGGCTCGTCGAGCCGTTCTTTTCCCGCCTGGGCGAGGGCAGGGCCAAGGGGGGGGCTCGACGTCGCCCGCGCAGTTCGGGGGGCTTCCTGGGCCGAGGACGCGGG